CCGAGAGCAAGTGCCGCCGGCTCCCGCCTGGGCCTCGCGTAGCCCCCCGCCTTCCCGCCGCCCCCCGCCTGAATCCTTTTAAACTTTTGAAAAATGTCGGCTTGCGAGGAAACGCACCCCCCACCCCTGACTTGCATTTTCTGCAGCCAGCCTGGGGCTCGGGGCTGGGCTGGACGCTGGGAGCCCGGGCGGCGGGACCGCTGCCTGCCCCGGGGAGAGGAGGGGGAGCTGCCCGGCTGTGCCGCGCCCCCGCCCCCGGCCGCCCTGGCCCGAGCACGGGGGGAGATGGCAGTGCTCAGACTGACAGCGCCGGCTCCGGCTTCATGGAGGCTGCCGTGCTCTAGGCAGGGGAGCTGCATGGCAGCAGGGACCGGTGTCAGCTGCCGAGCCCAAACCGGGAGGTACCCGGCCTCAGCGCTTGGGGTCCCGGCAGCAGGGACAGTCACCAGGGCATTCCTGGGCAGGCTAGGCTGCAATTAACAGGTCGTTATTTGCAAAATAATTGCTTGTTGAAATTCTCCCCCTCTGTTCAATTTGTCATGGGACTTTTTTTTTTTTAACTCACCTGCTAGTTAATCATAGGGGTTTTTTTTTCCTTATGGGTTGGGTTAAAGCTAGTCACCTGTAAACCGTTTTGCCTGTGAGGCTTTCCTTTTGCTACTGTGACCTCATCCAAATTGTAGTAATTTGTCCTTGGAGAGAGTTATTTTAACAAAAACAAACCATAACTCTGCTCTGGAAAGGACAGGGGAAAAGAGGAATAATCATTGTGCATTAACCAGGCAAGGTCACTAAAATAACACAAGGCGCTATGTTTTCTTAGGTTAAAACTTTAGGGACGTATACACATTGATATTGTGCTATTACAGTAGTTTGGTGGGGTGAGTTTTTTCCCCCTTTAAAAGCAAGTTTTAACAAAACCTGCTCTCTAGTTTTACAACTAAAATTAACAATTGCAGTCCCCAAGACTGCAACTTGCTCTTAGTGTGTGTTGGTATGTTCAAATACTTGTTGGTAACCCATATGGAAAGCAGAGGCTGTAGAAATTAGTCTAAGTAATTTTTAGTTCAAAGGGCATCTCACATGAGAGTTTAATGTTTATAAGTATTTTTGTAGCTATTAAGCAATGATCTCTGAGTGACGTTTCATTCTAAAGAAAAATATTGCTCAGGGGATTCAGAAATTTGAAAAAAAATATTTTTCCAGATTTTAGCTAACCAATAGGGAAGGGGCTTTAGGACCAAGAGAGTAATTCACGACTGGCAATATGTTGATGCTTCTCTGGGAAAAGGAAAAAAAATATAGGATGCAGAAATATTGATAGCCAGAGTAATTGATTGTCAGACTTTTCTGTCTCACCCTTATTTCTTTTATGTTCAGAACTTCTCCTTCAAGGTGATTCTTCTGGCAGTTGAAGGCTGGATAAAAGTCTGCCCTTTGTGTCCTGGGTTCTGTAAATCACTGTGTAGATGAAACTAAAGTTGAAATAAGTCAAAGAGCATATTTCACTTTTCCGTTGGCTCTGTTTTCAATTTGGATCAGGCTCATGGCACCCTGGTTTGTCATGACAGCACGCTGCAATATATTTTCATTTCCTACCATTTCTGCTCTTGGTGGACAGAGGTACTGTTCCTTTAGCACTCCCAATTCCCACCCTTCACCCACGTTATTTTTTTGGTGAAATTAAATGCTTATGAAAGTTGGTGGTATAACCTGGGGATGATGCTTTCATTGCTGCTGCTCATGCTACACCTACTCTGTAAGTTTCTCCATGTTGCTTGAGCATCCTGGCACACCGTGTGCAGTTTCTTGGGTAAGGGTGGCACTGGGCATGTCAATTAATGTTAATCTTGAGGGTGACTCAAAGACATGCACATGTCCATTCTGAATTAGACTTGGACCACCTGCTAATTCACATGGGTCACCTAACTGGCCATCAGGTGGTACCCTTAGGTCACTGCTGTTTTTGGATGGGGTTGGAATAATGAGAGAAATAAAAGCTGGCTTATCACCAACCCTGTAAGCATCCCTGAATTTCTTATCATTGTTGTTCCCTCCACCCTGTAGGCCATGTGTATGGTCTACTTACCTGTGTAGGTTAGGTATTAGAAGTGTTTGTGTCACATTTTTCTCCAGGCCAACTTGACCAAGCTCACAGAACTAGGTTTGAACTAAACTGTAACAATATGTACAAATCAATTTTAGCTCTGGAATGTTGCATATTTTTAAGTAGGCAGTGGATTGAATTTTGCAGATACATTTATAAATGTGGCCAGTTGTGACAAGAATGAAAGCAGCAAGTGTCCAGATGGTTAATATTTAGAACACATTGCATGGGTGTTGTTAGCAAGCAAAAATAACTGCAACAGGCCTATTATTATTTGTCATGAGAATTTATTGAAATGTGGCTTAAAGGGAGATACTAGTTCATTTCATGTGCACATGTTGCAATGTAATGTGTGTTCCACCAAGCATGTACAGTATGAAGTAACATTACCAGCATCATTCTAGTCTCTCTCTAATTATTTTTGGAAGGTGATATTATGTTTAATTCAAGAAACTGTAGTAGTAAACTGTAGTTCTTGCTTTTGATTAGCTTGTATTGCAAACCATTTTCCCATCCTTTCTCAGTTTCATAATCCACCCAGAACTAGCAACACCCTCAGAATGAATTCTCAAGCCCTCTGACTTGGATCTGTTTTTGCCATAAGTCAGTACAAGAATGAAATCTGCTGGGTTCCAGGGCCTGCGTTCTGTGTTCTCCAATATTTCTGTATTTCTCTGAACTTCAGTAAGCATGTGGGTCAAAATTAGAATTGTTCCTGAAATCCAGTAATAAAATAGACTAAAAGTACTATTCAGGCAAAGTGAGTTGTACAGTTTAAAGAACTGTTTTGTCAAAATAGGGGTGGTTGAAAGAATGCTTACAAATCACACTTGTGTCTGACTGTGTTTACCTACTGTGATTGCTTTTAACACCCGAGATTACTATAAATGGAACAGATTTGAGGAAATTAACCTTTTCTGTCTCTTGTGGTGTTTATTTTAAACACTTGACAGTACTTTGTACTTGAATTCAAGTGTAGTAGGCACTGTTTGGATCTTTCATACAATAACACAGGAAGGGAAAACCTAAACTGGCAGGGGTTGTAAATGAAAGTGTGGTACTTACATTTATTCCCTCTGCTCCCTTTTTAATACCCCTAGGATGGCAAGATGATGAACCCTCTCTGAACAAAATTTACATTAAATCCTGTCTAACACAGAGTTAAGCCATTAGACTTGAACTGAATAATATATTCTATCATTAGGGCTCGATCTGTTAGGATTTACTCATATGAGTAGCCCCTTTTGACTTTATGGGATTTAGCTATTTTAATAGCATTTTCTGCAAGTTTTGTCAAGCAATTTAAGAAATCTAACAACTGAACTTGAATTCTAAGCTCAGAAATTAGTGCATCACTTTGAGGAATTTCCACCATACAGATGGGGTTTCACTACCCTCTGTGAATATGGAGTAGGTGGTATGGCTTTTCTCAAGCCTCAGGTCTCCTAGATTAAAATATTATCATGTTGCATCTAGTATTAATTTTTCTGTTAAGACTTCCAATTTCCAATCTAGTCTGTTGGAGAAACCTCTAATCTGGTTTTCTTAATACAGATTGAGACTAATTCTACCCTCTTTAGGATCTACAAAGGTACAGGTAAAATGGATTCTTCACAAAAGGGAAAAAAACAAATCATTTACTATTTTCAGTGTGTGACCACCCAAACACCTGATGGGGTTTTTGTTGCTTGTGCCTAGTCATTCCAGAACTGTTTGTTTGTTTGTTTGTTTTTTGCATTCACAGACGTAAAGTTCAGTATTTTCTGCTTTCCAGAGTAATGAAATCTCTATTCTGAATAATCATTTTGAAAGCAGAAATTTTCTTATTCATACTAGTCCTCTTTTTTCCCCCCCACCCCAAGCAATGCAGCACATCTTTCAGAAGACCTAACTAACACAATACATTATCTTTGTGTGTGTTATCTATGTTAGGGAGATGCTATTTCTTAATACCATTGTTTGAAATCAGGGTAAGCTGCAGTAGTGTAAAGCTGGTCCATGTGGGTTTGTGCCGGTGCAGCTACAGCACTGTCTTAAATCCCAGTGGAGACAATGCCTTGCAAAGGAAGGGGCTGGGTAGCACATAGTGCAGAGGGCCTTAATTTTCCATGCCATTCCTGTGGTTGTTGCATCTATTGCTTGGAAAAAGTAGGAGAGTGCAAGTAAAAGCGTGCTCTTACAACTCAGGAAAGAGACCTTGGAGTCATTGTAGATAGGTTTCTCAAAAGATTAGCTCAATTTGCAGCAATGACTGAAAAAAGCTAATTAAAGTGTAACCTGTGCTGGCATGCTAGGTCGGGTGATATGCTGGATTTCGGATCCTCAGGGTGCCAATAGCCCTGGGAACCCCCTCGGGCAGGTCTACTGGCTGAGGTATCTTGCGGAGGGGCGTGTGCCTCACTTTCACCACTCAAAAATTTACTCCAAACCCAATAAACACATTGGTTTCTTTATTATGTACAACTATATACAGAAAATAAATGATTAATCGAAAGAAGAAATATAGTTAATAATAAAACCAACAATTTGAATAAAGTTTACAAGTGCA